TTTTTTTTTTCTATCCTCAAATTTCGTAACTACTGTTCGTTTGCAGTTTTTTCATGCGATAGTGCTTATTTTTCTGACAATCACTTAGCAATCCCAATAATTTAGTCCAGCGCAAGGAAACTTTAAAAGTTGCTTTTTTATTCATATCTCCATGACAATTCTGTGATTTTTCTAGCTCATAGTTTAAGCTAACTGAGCATGAAAGAGTTGACATCCTATGATGATTGCAAGCGTAATATTCACATTTGAGAGTTGTTCGTTATTCGTCGCACTGGGGACCTTGTCCTCGAGCTGATGGAAATCGTTTTCCATGTCTTGTAGTGATCCCATTATGACGGATTCTTCATTGAGTTCCGTGTCCATCAGCTGCATAATATCTCCCAGCTGTTGTTGTGTTTGTTCAATGTCAGTGTCCATGAATCTTACATCTGCATAGACGCTTTCTAACGGATCTAATTCCTCAGAGAGGCAGCGAAGTTCGGCAGCTTTTTGCCGCAATTCTTGAACGTCCGCTTGTACCATCTAGATATCAGTTCAGCATCATTTCAAGATTTAATAGTTATACAAAATTTGAAATCCATTTGATGTTTGGGCATTCCATTATGCGTGCTTACTGATTTTTTTTGCTCCTTTAGATTAATTGAGGTAAAGTGCAATCTTTAGCAATTTATGATCATATGAATTCGTCCTAACCTTTAACTCGTCCAAATCAAGCAGCACTTCGTTCGAAGGCCGAACTGGTTTTCTCGTAATTTCTCTTAATGGTCCTTCGATCACTTCAAGTTGATCTAGAGTCATGTCACGTTGGATGACAAACTCTCGCCACAAATCTTTTCTTCTTACCAACTGTGTATGCAAACATTTCGCATCCCTAACCATATCGTTCAGTTGACTCAGATCTATTCCTTTTGTGGACGCAGTTTCAATTAACATTTGAGCATCTTTCAGTGGGTGCTCAAACAGTTCTGCTGTACTTGCATACGAGCTTGGGTCGGCCTTTGCATCACTGAGTAACACATTTCCTTTGCCGATAAGCACAGTCAATGCCTCCACTAATTGTTCCGCATCGGTTAGTGTCTCCTGCTTCCCGATTAGTTGATTGCGTTGTTTTTCAGCGTTTTCTACCTCACACTGAAATAATACTGATGTACTTTTTTACGGAAGAAAATTGTCCATGTTCCGAGAACATTCCTCATTCTCGAAACTAGAGATCTAAACCGGCGATAACTTGAAATATATCACATAAAGTGCCGTGGAATTCAACAATGCAATCTGAACAGTCCTGTGACTCAACATTGTAGAGGGATCAGAATCACCACCGACGATTGAAGCTATTAAATGACGCACACCCAATTCTTACCTCAAAAGTACGTTTCAACTTGTCCAATTCCATCATCATTTCAGATTTCTCACTCACACATTCAGGAGCAAGTTCTCTCTCTTCAATTCTATCCAACGAATTTTTCATTTCATCCAATTTCGACATCTTCGCCTGAAATAAAGTGCGCCGCAAGAGTGTAGGCGGCTTCAGTGATGCATTACACAATTGCAACATGCACAAAGAGTGCAAAAACAAAGATTGACCAATTATAGAATGACGATTTCATTCCCACGTGCGTGCGATTGCTACAAATATTGATGAACATGCGAAAACAGCTCAATAAAAATGGAAGAACCCATACCTTCAGATCGCTGATATGATCGGTGATTGCTTGTATTGAATCGGAGTCGAGACGTACTTCGCC